TGACTATATATATATATATATATATATATATATATATAACATATATGTATGTATTTGTGTGTATAAAAGTGAGACAGAGAAAGACAGACAGACAGAGAGACTACAGAGAGAGAGAGAGAGAGAGAGAGAGAGAGAGAGAGAGAGAGAGAGAGAGAGAGAGAGAGAGAGAGAGAGAGAGAGAGAGAGAGAGAGAGAGAGAGAGAGAGAGAGAGCATAGAGATGTTCATTCAAGTGTATGTATTTGTGTGTTGTGTGTCACAACTAATCCTAAACATAGATATAATGAGATATATGTATAATATATATATATATATATATATATATATATACAGAATATACAGAATATACAGAATATACAGAATATACAGAATAAAACAAAATTAACTTCACATGTAATGCAATTCAAAGATACAAAAATTATTGTCCTTTTCAGTGATTTTGATTTGTCTCCCAAACTATATACAGTATATACTGTATATATATACTATATATATATACTGTATATATATATTTATATATATATAGGTATATAATATATACATTTTATTTAATATTATACAGACTGTATTTGACAAACTAATATCTTTTTATTTGTGTAATAAAAACCAATAATAAATACCAAAAAATATAAATATAACTTAACTTAGAGAGTATATATATACGTTAATATACTAATAAAAAAATATCTAATTTAAAACATTTTTTCCTACTATCTATCTATCTATCTATTAATATATATATATATATATATTCAATACAATTTTATATTAATAAATATCTTATTAACCATCTGTACAACTCTAACAATAAAAAAATGTATTTAATAATCAAAAAACACACAAAACAAGAAAATGCTTTCAATTATTTATTTTATTTGTAACACAAAAAAAATTAGAAATTTTTTAGTTGAATATTAAAAAAAACAAAAAAAAATTAAATTTATTGATCACTTTTTTTTATCTATCAAAATCAAATGTATGTGTGTTTTGAATGTTATTTCAATGAATCCTTAAAATTAAAAAACTAAATATAAAATTATGTATAATTAACAAAAATTTGTTTACTAATACTTATACCCCCGCCATTCATCCAAACACCCACCCATACCTTCATATGCCAACCCCACCCCACCCACACACACACACACCCAACCACCCAACCCAACATATAGGTCGCCCGTAAACGTATACGCCGTAAGCCGGGCAACAAAGTAGTACTGGCTTTGCGTAAGGCCTCGGGATCTACGCGCAGCCTAACCGTGCCTTCAACTACAACAGTCAATGAAATGACTACCAATTTTTCAAGCGAAGTGTCCACATCGTCGCCAAATGTTAGTCCCGATCGGTTGGCCACCGCCAATAATAATAATAATAATAACGGTGCCGCCGGTGGCGGCAGCGCCGGTAGCGGTGGTAGTGCTACCGCCAGCGGCACCAGTGATAAAATAGATAGTATGCTATTGCCTAACCATAATAATAAAAAACAACAACAACGGCCACACCATCAGCAGCAGCGGGAGTCCATTGAAGCCAAACGTGAACGAAAAGCGGCCAAAACATTGGCCATTATTACCGGTTTGTTTGTTTAAAAAAATTTCGGTTATTTTATTTTGTTTAGAAAAAAAATTAATTATAAAATTATTAATTAACAGTAAAATCGATTATTTTTTTTATGTATGTATATATATCTTATATTAGGATAATATATATATATATATATTAATTAATTAATTAATTACCAAAAAAACGATAATTTTCTAATATATATATTTCAATATAATAATAATAATATGCATATTAAGTTTATTTTTAATTAATTTATAATAAATTCAATATTTATATATTATTATTATTAGTATTATTAGTAAGTATTAACTAATTATTTCTATATATATATTAATTAATTAATTAATTAATTAAAATAATAATTAATATTATTATTTGCTCAGATTATTTTTTGAATACAAATAGCAAATACAGTATACATTTTATTATAAACAAAAAAAATCTATTACTGTATATAAAAAAACAAAAACATAACTTATAATAAAGTTTAATATACACTGTATATAAACTATGGCTATAAATAATTTATGTAAACATTAATTATACTATAATATTAATTAATATAAATTATATACATATATATATATATATATATACAGTATATACTGTATAACTAAACAGTAAAATACCCATTGAATGCCAGTATAATGTTATAAATTTTAGTATTTACTAAAATGCTATTATATTTAGACTATGTATTTGTTTTGTTTATATTATATCTATTAAATAAATATTAATATATTTTTATACATATATATATATACTGTATATATATATAAACATATTATGTTTTGTTGGTAAATTAATTTGTAATGTATTGTAGTATTATTATTATTATTATTAATTTTTTTTGGTTATTTATTTTCCACACATTTAGCAAACATTAAGTCAAATGCAGTGCTATTTTTATTGATATTAAGATATAATATATATAATATATATAATATATATAATATATATAATATATATAATATATATAATATATATAATATATATAATATATATAATATATATAATATATATAATATATATAATATATATAATATATATAATATATATAATATATATATATATATATTTGACAGTAATATACGGTATATATATTTATATATAGTATATATAAGGTTACAAAAATCAATACATATACTCGTATTGAGACAATATGTTATTATTATTATTATTATGTAATATAATTTAGTTTCATATGATATGTTTATAAATAACTACAGTATTGTATACTTTATACAATATATTATATATATATACATTTAGATAACAAATTATATATATAATATATATAACCAATTATTTAGATAATATATATATATATATAGATATATATAGTGTTATAAATTGCTTATTCAATTGTCAACCTAAAAATTATTTGAGATTTTTATTTATTTTCAATTAATATATATATATATAAAAAACTATTAGGCGTGGTTCACATATTACGTTCGCACTTGAGGGGAGGGGGGTTAGCCAAAACGAACTTTTGCGAACAAGGGGGAGGGGAGGGGAGGGTAGAGACTTTAAGAACGTTCGCATTTAGATAATATCTTATATCTTGTGGTGGTGGGGGGGGGGGGTAGCGGTTAGGGTTAAGCGAACGTAATTTTTTTAAATGACTACTTGCGAACATAGGGGAGGGAGGGGGTCTAGATTTCTTAAAAAGTGCGAACGTAATATGTGAACGACGCCTTATCTATATTTGTTTATTTATATGATATTTTTAGTATATATATTTAATATTTATTTAGCGGTACATTTTAGAAATTTAATTGCTTTTTTTTTATTTGATGTTATTGTTGTTATCTATGCAAATAATAAATATTTATAATTTTGTTATATACTAATATATAAACTATAATTATAATTATCATATATACATATACTGTATATATATTATGTATTGTAATATATATTATGACTATTAAAAAAAAATCATTACAATAGAAATGGATAATATTTTTCCAAATTAAATATCTAAATATAAGTTTATATTATATAATAATGAATAATAATATTTTTTAAAAATCATATTTATCTATATCAATATTATATTTAATATAGTTGAATAAAAAAGTTAATGTATATACACTAATATATATATAAATATCTAATAGTATTAAACTAAATATATAAATTTATTTTATATAATAAAACCGTTATTATAATTATTATTTTTTTGTGTGTTGTTGTAGTATTTCTAATCGTATTAAATAAAAATTAATATATATATAAAAAAAATTATTTATTTTATTCAAAAATAAAAACTCTTAATACTCTAATTATAAACAGTTTACTATTTTTATTTAATTTATTCACTTTAAGTCTAAAAATTGAATTTAAAAAATCTAATAATAATAATAAAGAATAAAATATTATAAATATTTTTATTAAATATAATAATAATAATAATAATAATATGAATAGTTTTAAAAATAGCATAATAAATTTATTATCATTTTTTTTATATTTAACTTTATAGTTAAGTGATAATACAATATACCGGTATATACTGTATATTCAATTTATATGAATATTAAGTTTTTAATTTTTTGTATAAATAGTTTTTTAGACAACAATAACAAAAAAATAGTCTCTTTTTTTTGATTGAATGTATTTAGCAAATCGTAAATATAATTTTTTGAATAATAATCTCATTATTATAATAATAATCTTTATTTAATATTAAAAGTATTTATATTATTAAAAACTAATTATAATTATTATATGTATATATTAATACAGTATTTAAATAACTAATATGTTATTTTATATGTTTAAACTTTTAACATTAATTATATTTCCTAATTAATTTTTTTTAAAATACAATTTTTTGTTGTAAACATTATTTAAGTTATTAGATTAAAACAATTTAGTTTAAAATAATTTTACTGGCAAATAATTTATTGAATCAATTTTCAATCAATCAATTAATTTTTAACTATAATTTTTTTTGAAATGTAAATTAAATAAATAAATCAATTATCAAACTATATATATATATTTATATATATATACAGTATATACCGGGTATATAATAAACAATATTTTTAAAACTATTTTACAAAAACAACAACAACAATAACAACAACAAAATATTTTTATTTATTTATTTTTATATTAAAATCATTTGATAATAATAATAATAATAATAATAATAATCAAAATTGCAATTATAATCATTGATAATCTTAGTATTATTATTACAACCATTAATACTTATAGTATATAACATAAAATAATTGAAATATATATAAACATTAATTTTTTTTAAATATTGATAATTATATATTTTTTTAAAAAATTAAATATAATATTTTAATTTTATTTATTTTTTTAAAATATAGGCCTATTTGTTATATGTTGGCTACCGTTTTTCATTGTCGCCCTATTGATGCCATTATGCGAGTCGTGTCGTGAAAATATACCGCTACTGGTGCTCAACATATTTCAATGGTTGGGTTATATCAATAGCGGTATTAATCCTATTATTTGTAAGTATTTTTATATAAATATTTATTTATTTTTTAAATATATATATATAAATATATTTTTATTTTATTTTTTTTTCAGACACAATATTTAGTCCCGACTTTCGGACGGCATTCAAGAAAATGCTATTAGGAAAGCGTGCCATCAATATAAGTAATATTAATAATACTAAGGCCAAGTCACCGGTTAGGGTATGACCTGATTGACCTGACCTGACCTGACCTGAATGACCATCACATCACACATCATATCTCATATCAAACAAACAAACACTTCCAGCCAGTGATGGGATATCTATCGGGATATCTATCGGGATATTTATCGGGATATCTATCGGAATATCTATCGGGATATCTATCGGGATATCTATCGGGATATCTATCAGGATATCTATCGGTATATCTATCGGTATATCTATCGGGATATCTATCGGGATATCTATCGGGATGTCTATCCGGATATCCTCCTCCCCGGTATCTACCGTCACATCGTTGACAGCCAAATAAAACAACTATATATATATATTGATATATAGTATATAACAGTTTCAAAGCTCATGTTATTGATATTAATTTTTTTTTGTTTCGTTTATTATTTAATAATATTAATTAATAAATAAAATACATTTCCGTACAGACATACAGACAGACAGACAAAACCAAATGTGATAATTATTAGTTAATATGATTATAATGTATATTATGTATACACACTTACAAAAAATAATAATAATGATATTAATATGTCTTATAATAATAATAATAATAATAATGATTTTTGTTGAATTAATTTGTTATCAATTTTATTTTGTTGTGTGTGTGTGTGTTAATACAGTTGACTAGTTTTTAACAGTTAATTATATTATTATTATTATTAATTTTCAGATGTTTTTTTTATTTACTGATTGAGTGAGTGTTTATTGAATCGTTAAATTATTCTCTCTCTCTCTCTCTCTCTCTCTCTCTCTCTCTCTCTCTCTCTCTTTCTCTCTCTCTCTTTCTCTCTCTCGCTCTCTCTCTCTCGCTCTCTCTCTCTCTCTCACAAACACACACTCACTCACTAACATTTGACAAACTTTTAATCACTTAACAAATATACTGAGACACAGACACCAACTAATAGTCAATCTAATGAAAAAAATTGTTTTAATGCTTCAATTGTTTGCTGAGTGTGTGTGTGTGTTTGTGTTTGTGTGTGTGTGAGTATGAGTATGTATGTGTGTATATATGTGTGTATGTATGTGTGTATGTATGGGTGTGTGTGACTGACTAACTAACTGTGTGTTGTTTGCCTATAATATTCAAGTCAAAAGTTTATTTCAATTAATGCCCGATATTTTATATATATATATATATTTTTATTTATTAGCTATAAGTTTAAATTGATTACATAGTTGATTGACAATATATAAGTGTTAAATTTCTCTCTCTCTTTCTTTCTCTCTCTCTCTCTCTCTTTCTTTCTCTCTCTCTCTCTCTTTCTTTCTCTCTCTCTCTCTCTCTCTCTCTCTCTCTTTTACTCACTCACTCACTCACTCACTCACACTAGCTATTTGTTAGACTACTACTACTACTAAATAAAATGAAATAAACAAAAAACCGGAGATATTTTTGTTGTGATAATCAGATTTATGGGACAATTCTCGTGCGATTTGTTTGTTTTATATATATATATACTGTATATCAGACAATACTCTCTCTCTCTCTTTCTCTCTCTCTCTCTTTCTCTCTCTCTCTCTCTCTCTCTCTCTCTCTTTCATATGTATAGCCCGATAACAACTACAACAACAACAATAATAACAACTAGTATAACACAATACAGGGTTTTTTGGATTCACAACAATCACTAAATAAAAAAAATAAAAAATAAAATAAAGATTTGTTTGTTTGTTGGTGTGTTTATGTTAACAATGTATAGATTTTTTATATATATATATAATTTAATTGTTTAGTAAACCCTAGAAATTATCTAACCTTTTATTTTTATATATAAAAATATAAAACACATTACATACCATTAAACAATTAATTATTTTATTATATTATAAGACATATATATATATATTTAATTATTGCCAATTATATCATTGAAAAATAACAACAATATTATTAATCATATTTTTTAAAAATATTATCATTTTATTGTTGAAATTTTAATATCATATCAAAAAAATATATTATATATTAAATACTGTATATATTATGTACAAATATTAATTCAATTGTTATAAATTAAATAATAATATTAATAAATCTCAATTAATTATCATAAGTTGTTGTATTACCGATATATAATATATATTATTAGTTATTATATATATAACAATTAGGTTTGTAAATTAAAACTAAAAATAAACGTATTGTATTGTATGTAATTTTTTAAAAAAAATTAACAAATTTTTAATAATGATTGATTGTCATAATTTATAATATATATATATATATATTTAATTAATATATATTTTAGTTAAAATGTTTATACAATATATTCAATATGTTCAAAATATATAATTATTATTATAAATTATTATTATTATTATAAAAAATTTTATTAATCATTATTTTTGTTATTTAGCATTTTTATATTTTGTATAAATGTTTGTTAAAAAAAATGTAAAGTTATGTAAACAAATAATAATTATTATTAAATTACTAATATATTAAAATAATTCACAAAAATTTGGGGCTCAAAAGTGAATTATTTTATAATTTTTGAATAAAAATATTAGTAATAAAATATGAATTTATAAATTGTTAGCTAATATATGATATATATATTATTTTATTTTTTTTGTTAAACAATAATTTATATCGTTTATACATACAAATTATATATATATTATGTTAAAAATAATTCATAAAATTATGTATATATTTGATTTGTTGATGAAAATTGTTGAAATAAATTATTTTATTATTATTATGAATAAAAATCATTATTTTTTTTATCATTCAATAATAAGTTTACAACAACAATAAAAATTTCAACACTTTGTTTGCAAATATTTATATAGTCTAACAAATTATTATTATTTTTTAAAAAATAGATAGTGTTTACATAACTTAATTATATCTATATTTATAATTCATATATAAAAAAAAATTTCAACAAAAAAATGTGTCTAACACTTATGTATTTTTTTGCTAATGGGATTAAAATTACTAAAATTTTCAACAACAAAAAAATTATCTAATTATAAACTAACAAAATATATATAAATATTTTTTAATCATAGGATATAAATATATTTTTAAATAGTAAATATTATTTATTTAATTTCTAATTATATTATTATTATTATTTTAAAAATATCTAAAATTAAAGATATTTAGTTTTTACTATATTTAAATTATTTTTTGTTTGTTTTATGTGCAGATATATTAATAGACATTTTTAAAAAAAACAAATAATATTTTATTTATTTTGACTAATTATTTTTTACAATTATTATTTTATTTTTATGTAATTTTTTTTGTATAACTTAATAATAAAAATAATTACAAATGACTATTATTTTAACACTTTTTTATTTTTTATTGTAAATTATTTTATCTGATAATGTTAATACTACTACTACTACTAATAATAATAATATAATTAATAAATATCTATAAAATATTTATTTATTATTAATAATTTTTAAGTATATATATATACAGTATATATAAGTTAAATATTAAATAATTATTAGTTTAATGTTATACAGTATATATATATATGTTATATAAATAATTTATTGTTGAATATTATTTAATAAATAATTGAATGTATAATTTGTTTGACTAATAATTTAATATAACATTACTTCCCTATATTTATTTCAACCCCGGTGAACTTGTATATCAAATATAATATATAATACATTTTCAAACAACATTTATTTTATTATTTTAAACATTTACGCTCTCATTAGTTATGCTAACTGTATTATACTAGTATATAAATTATATATATATATATATATTTAAAAAATTATTTAATCATTTGCTAGCAATCATTTTATTTTTTTTAATTATTATTATTTAAAAAACAACAACAATTGTTATAACTTAATTAGTATATATATATATATATATATATATATATATATATATATATATATATATGTAAGGGTGTCTATATTATTATATTTATAATACTAATGAGAAAACAATGTAGTCTATTATTATTAATTGATATAATTGTGTTTAATTGCTGTATTGAAAACTAATAGATATATATAATACAGTATCATGTAATACATTATTATAGTATATGTTGTATTGAATATATATATATGAATTGAAAACAAAATATTTTACTAGAAATTAGTGTAAATGAAATAAAAATTGAATTATATATTATTATTATTACAGTTTGAAATTGATTTTTAATTTTATAATAATAATAATAAATGAAAGTTGACATAAAAATTAGTTGCTAATTAGTATTGTTGCTAAATTTTCCATATGATTACACACACACACACACACACACACACACACACACACATACGTACACACACATACATACATACACACATTAAATACATACACAAAATATTTTTTTATGACACCAAAAAAAAATTATTATCACACATAATAACATAACTACACACTGAAAAAAATCTATTATATAAGCCTAAAAACTTTCTCAGATTTTTTATCAGTTATTTTTTAAAAATCATTTTTTTGGTTCAGTGTTGTGTGTGTTTATGTGTGTTGTGTTTCAACAAAAGTTTTACAAAAATAATTATATTTATTATTTAAAAAATCTAATAAAACAATAACAATGGTTAACATAAAGGTTTAAAAAAAATTAACAAATATTTTTGTTCAAAAAAAAAAGTTTCTTATTATTAAATATTATTATTATTATTTAGTTTATGTTGTTTATTATGTCGGCCCTAATCGGACTAACCATAGGAACCGTATGGAAAGGTGGCGGACAGTCCAACTCGTTTAGAAAACAAGACGTATATATATATATATATATATTTTTTTTATTAATAATAATAATTAACTTATAAATTAATTTATATATACCATCACTACCACTACCTACCATCACCACCACTACCCATCCCATCCATCAACCACACTAGGATCACGGCAACTATGCTTTTGGCTACGATATTAAGGACCCCCACGGAGCGTCCAACTCGCGCCGGGAGTCGGGCGATGGACACGGAAACAAGGTTTTTATTTTTTTTGTTGGATTTATTAAATCAAATCAAATTAATTATTATTATTTTGTGGTTACAATACAAACTGTTTATGACAACAATAGATATAAGTTATAATTTTATATATATATATATATATATAACAATCACTGACATTTAGGCTTAAAAAAACTTACCAAAAAAAAATTTTATTGGTTAATCCCATATATTAGTAATACCTCTATAATATCTATATAAATATATTCATATATATATATATATATATATATATATATATATATATTATATTTATCATCCATAGGAGGGCTCCTATAGCCTACATGACACCGATGGCAGGTCTCGAACCGTCGATTATGTAAGTGATAAATGTTTTTTGTATTTTATTATTATTTTTTTTTTTGGTACTAATCTCTCTCTCTCTCTCTCTCTCTCTCTCTCTCTCTCTCTCTCTCTATCTATCTCTATCACTGTTTCACTGTCTAATTGCAAACACCTGCACAAAAAAACCTGATCATTAATTTCAATTTGTTTTATCTTTTGTTTTATTTTTTTTTTTGTACACTTATCTGTTAATCTCAATCACTTGACATTATATATATATATATAACCACAAAACTAATAACATTACCAACACATTGACAATAACAACAACAACAACAACGACAACAAGTGGGCCGATAAATCAGGATTTCGGTAAAATAAAACAATTATATATATATTGATTGATTAAAAAATAAATTATTTATTATTTTTCCAACCCTAACCCTAACCCCCCCACCACAAAATAAAAATAAAATAAAATCAGTGCTAAAATAAGATCCAATGAACCAAGTGTTGTATCACATGAGGCGGCCGACGCCTCCTACAGTGGTAGCAGTCATGGAGGCGATGGAGGAAAAGGAGGTTACGGTGGCGGCGGTGGATATAAGTAAGTAATAGTTAATAAATATATATATATATATATATATATATATATATATATATATATATAACTAAATTATCTATTAAACAATTGTATATTTAGCTGACTAAACATCTATTAGCTAACTAACCATATATATATGCATGTACTATATATATGGGTATTATTATTATTATTATTATTATACAACTGTCCATATATATACAATATATATATAAATTAACTGTTATTATGTTATCTTATTGATTATATTGATAATAGCTACCAAAGTGGTGGTGGTGGCCCGGGAGGCAAATGGTAATAAACTAGGAAAAGGCCTTTAAATAAAATTGTTTAAAAAAAGTTCACCAAAATTCAAATAGTATTATTCAATAGACATCCAAATAACATCCAAAAAACAACAAATCAATAGTAATAATAATACTGTACTACTAATTATAATAATAATATTAATAACACATAATAACAATGTGTTTAAAACAAATAATTTTTTTGTGTAAATATCTATAAAAACATAATACCTGAGCAACAAATATATTTATTATACAATATACAAATATACAATTAATATACAAAAATATATAAAAAAAATATATAAATATTATATATAATAATATTTATAATTATTATATATATATATATATATAACTGTACTCTAAATATCAATACTTAATAAATAACTATTTATTTAATTTATTTAAATAACAAAACAAAAAATAATTTGTGCATTTGTTTTATTTGATAATTTATTTTTTATTTTAAAATAAAATAATTGTTTCATTATTTATAATAATTTATTAGATTTATCAATTGGATTTAATTGATAATAAAATAATTTATTTGAAAAAACGGTTTTTTCAACTAATATTATAATTTTAATTTTTAAAATAATATTATTGGATATATATATATATTGGTAATTAAGATTTATAGTCAATAAATATATAATATAATAAATTAGTAATAGGTTTATAATTTATTTAAATATAATTAAATATTTATAAATTAGTTTTTTAGTGTCTTATTAAAGTTTACAAATTAAAAATTTTATAGTTTAATAGTATGATAATTTAATTTATAAAATAAATATATATTACTAACTAAATACTAGTTTAAACTTTAAAAGTCAAATTTATTAATTTTTTTATCCATAATATAAAATTTATAGATAAATGTTACCTTAATATCAACTCATATAACAAAAAAAAACTATTTATTATTCAAAACAAAAAAAAAATATTGTTTGAATTTAAAAATAAACCTAATTTGCATAAAATAGTTTTAAATATATATATAGCATTAAATATATTATTATTAATAATATTAATTATTATGTTTAAATTGAATTATTAAGGCGTAAACAAAAAATAGTTTTTAATGACAAAAATAATTATAAAAATAATAACATATATTTTAAATAATATTGATACCAAAAAATACTATATTTTAAAATTTTTAAAAAAATAACAATTAATAAAGTTTTTTTATAGATTTTTATTTGATTTAATAATTTTTATTTTGTATACAATAAAATGAGAAACATTATAAATAACAACAAAATATAACTTAATATATATATATATATATATTTATGTTATATATGAATATTTTTTGTCAAAAAAAACGAAAAAAAGTAATAATACTAACAATACATTACAGTATTTTTTAAAATTTTTATTATGTATTAAATATTAATTTAATAGAAAAAGGCATGAAATGAATAAATGATGACTTAGTTTATATAATAATAATAATAATAATAATTTTATAATATATATATATATATATATTACTAACATTAAAAATAACTTAACATTAAACATATTTTTACTTTATTTAAATTTAAAAAAAAATGTTAAAATAAATGTCAAAATGTTAAATGAATTACTTATGTATATATAAATATAAGTATTATATAATCGAAATAATTAATTAATTTTTAAAAAAAAATTGACAAAATTATAAATTTACATATGTATATAATTATAATAATAGATTTTTTTACATATATCATAAAATAATGATAATAATAATAATAATAAATTAATTTATAAATCAATGATAAATCATATATATATATAAATATTATTTATTATTATTATCATTACAAACAGTGACTAGACATCATCATCATTCATATTAAATATATATATATAATATAATATGATAATAATTACAATAATTTAGCAATGTTGTTTTATATATATATATATATATATATATATATATATATAATTATATCTATATTTATAAAACCATTAAAATGTTATTTTCTATGATTTAATAATAATGATAAAAACAAATTTCTTATATTATAAAATACACAAATTTTAATAAAAATTATTTTTTTTAGCAATTAATTCAATTTTTTTTTGTGTCACTGACCCATACCTTTATATTCAATGTTTATTATTTGTAATAATTATTCAGTAATTTGTTTGTTTTATATATATATATATATATATATAGATTAAATATCTCACTTCAAGTTCGTTCAATATATATATTTTAATTAACAATTGATGCAATTTAATAGGACGTTATACTGTACACTCAATATATATATATATCTGTAAACTTTTCAATAAACTTTTTTTTAACATTATTATAATAATAATCTCTCTCTCTTAAATATACCATTTTATATATTTATAATTACAATAATATAATTTTAACAATTTAAACAATTTTTAATTATCCAAACAATTCATACACTTATATATATATATTCAATTCAATTCAATTATTATTATTACTATTACATTTTGTTTTGTCTTAAAATATAATATATATATATATATTATTTTCACTCTCTTTTTTTATAATAATCATCATTAATATCATCAAAAAACTTTTTGTTTGTTTATTTTGTTTTGTTTTTAATACACTTTGTGTGATAACTATTAAAAAAAATTATAATACAAACCAATCGTTTCATTACAATAACAATAAAAATATTATTTTTTGCCTCAAAATTAACTTTTATCCCTCTTTCTCGTCAATATTAAACAAATTGCTAAAAATAATTTTGACAGAAATTAAATATATATATAATTGTCTAAATAATAATATTTTAAAAATTATATATTTGACTAGAAAATTGATGTTGGTAACATTTCAATTGTGTGTGTGTATATATGTGTTTTATTTTGAATATTTCAAAAATATATATAATATGTTTACAGATTTTTTTTTGTAAAAAATAATAATAAATAAAAATTATATATAGTTTGAAAAGTTTCTCTTATTTTTTTGTTATTTGAATATGACTTGAGATTTAAACAAACAAAAAATTACCGGTATTTTACAATAATGCAAATTATTAATCAATCAGTTAATTAATTTTTTTTTAAAAAAATAACAACAATTTTTTTATATAAAGTAATTTAATACTGTAATAATAATAATAATGATAATAACAATAACAAAAAAAAAACAATAATTAAATAATTTTTAAAAATGACTATTTTTCATATACTAGACTTATTATATATATATTAATAATTAATTAAACTATAATTATATGACAATTAAATTATTTAAAAAAAAATATTTGTTTGTTTGCGATTTAACAATAATTTTGTTGTTGTTGTTTTAAAATATTACAATTGAAATAAAAATAATTATTATAACATTGAAATTATATTTTTTTTAAAAATAATAAATGATTGATTAAAAAAACATAATGGAAATAAAATTAATAATAATAATAATAATAAATGATAATTACTAAACTATATATAGTATATTATTTTAGTATTGATATCAACCAATATTCAATAAATTAACTGTATATACGGTATATATATATAATAGATATTAATTATAAAAGCTATGGCACAGTTTGTTGTATTATATATTGTATTTTATAACATTATCATCATAATTATTATCATTATTATTATTAAATCAATAATATAATATAATTTATTCAAATTGTAATTCAAATTAAAAAATTTTGGGGTTTTTCTAATGTTGTTATAGTTTAGTATACAAATTGAATTAATATTCAAACTTTCAAATACTTTTCTGTTGTTTTACATAATATATAAAAATTTTCAAATTATTATATATTTAAAAAAAACAATTATTTATTTGTAATCAATAATTGTTGCTAATATTTTATCCAATGATTTATATATATATATATATATATATAGACTTCATATAATAGTCTAATAATAACTATAAAATCCTAAATTCAATTGTTGTTTTTTCATATACAGTATGAAACCAACCAAACAATAATTATAATAATAATAATTTTGAAGACTATATTTCCATATATTTTATATATGTGTCTCAATTAACAGGTGTGTATGTGTTTCGGTAACAATATTAATAACAACAACGACAACAACACCGACAACAACAACACCAACGACACAACAGGTTTGACCTGTCATTTCCCTCGAGGAGTAGTAGCAGTAGTAGTAATAGTAGTGGTGGTGGGAGTAGGAGTAATAGGTCTCAGAGGTGATGGTGGATTGGGGGAGGGGGGTTAAAAAAGTCTTGTTGGCTTAAAAGGCCGCCCTCCCCCCCCCCTACTCCCTGCCAGCCTCCCACCAACCAACCCATTCGAGTGAGTATATGTTTAAGTGGTGTTAGTGTGTGTGTGTGTCGGTGTCGGTGTCTATCAATTGATGAGATGTCCAAATACCACACACACACACACTCATACACAAAGACAAACAGGTGTTTTGCACGACACGACATGACATTGATTTATATATATACTGTATATCAATATATATGTATATAATTAGATGAGAGAGAGAGAGAGAGAGAGAGAGATAATATGTGGATGTTTTTTAGCTTAAGATGAGATATAGTAGTGGTAGAAGTAGTGGTGAAACTTATATACTGTATATATATATATATATATATTGATGACATAGAGATAGAGAGATAATTAGGTTCAAAAACCATCGATGAAGACAATGATGACGACGACCACAATGACCACTACGACAACAAGCGATGATGTAATTAATAAAAACTTATTTGTTTTGTTTTGTTTGTTTGTTACACTCGGAGACTCCACTTAAAAATATATAACAACTTTTTTAAACACTTTTTTTTGTTAAAAAATAACAAATCAAATGAAATGGGCGTTTGATTTGTTTGTTTTTTAAATATTGATTTTTGTCTTCATTTTCATCAACAATGAATCACACCATCGTCTCTCTCTCTCTCTCTCTCTTTTTCTTCATTATCTTCTACTATATATATGTCTCTTCTCTCGTCTCCCAATTGGTTCCGACTGTTTGACTGACTGTCTAAACAGATCCGCGGTCATCATCACTATTTGTCATTGTCCTCATCCATTGGCTCTTCACTGTGGCCACTGGTTTCGGGAGGACTACTAACCATCGGAAAAATAAACAATTAAATTAAATTAAATCAAAAATTAAATAATAATTTACTTCAACGACTGTCTGACTGTTAGCGACGCCAATGCAGTGACTGTTTCGCATTCTTCCTTTTCCTTTCGTTGGGCATCAATAAAGTTACAGTCAATCAGATGGCCAGTCCGGCGCAATATTGGCCAATGAGTGGCTATTTTTTTTATAACAAAAAAAAAATTACCGATAAATTACTGGTAATTACGAGTTTTTAAGTAAAGTTAAGACAAACATTGAATAGAGACGACCCGCTGGAGCAGTTCGACGGCATTCTGACACGGCTTTCGGGTCATCTCGTCCTCCGTAAGGCCACTTAAATCGTCGCCCAATAGAGCCGATACACACTCCTGGGAACAGTCGCAGATGGCCGGCAAATCATATCTATATACCCAACAACAACAAAAATACACAATTAAACATCAAATATATATCGGGGTTGGGGTAGGCAGGGACGGGATGGGTAGGTCGAAAACAGTTAGTCTAATGGGTGGATCATAAAAAATTGTTTAACTACTACTACATACCCGCCCTCCAGTGCCATCACTACACGACCTTTGGCCAGTGTCATCAGCTGTTGGGTTAGATAACCGAAACAGTTGGCCGTAATCTGATAGCCGCCCAACGGTGGCGGATGTCCCTGAGCCGAATCGAAACCGCAAGCCACCATAATCAGATCGGGATTAAAATCGCGTGCTATCGGCATGACTACCGATCGGAATGCGGCCAAATATTCGGCATCGCCCATCGGCGGACTCAACGATCCGCACCAACCAATGTTGACGTTAAACCCTACACCGTCATCGATACCCGTCTCCTGGAGGTCACCGGTTCCCGGGAAAAAATTTCCGTCGTCGTGCCGGTGCAACGATACGTACAGTACGTGCGGATCGTTGTAAAACATTTGCTGCAAACCGTTGCCGTGATGTACATCCCAGTCCACTACGAGAATCCTTTCCATCTTCAGCTTCAGTTGCAATTGTTTGATGGCAATGGCTATCGAATTGAAGAAACAAAAACCCATTGCCTGCTGGTGTTCGGCGTGACTGCCAGGAGGTCGGACCACTGCAAAGCCATTCTATTGGTTGGTTGGTTGGGGTGGGTGTAGGGGAACGGGTGGTAATGATGATGATGATAATGGTGGGTGTGTAAGATAAAAAAAATGACAGATCAGTTATGGACAATACACTCAATGAGATTGATTGACGACAACATACCTTGCACTCGCCGGTGGCCACCTTGAAGGCCAGTTCGACTACACAGCCGGCGGCCATACGGGCCGCACCCGACGTATGCATTTCGTTCCAAGTGGTATCCGAGTCGACACCGATGCCGCCACAGGGCAACATTACAAAACTCTTAATGGGAAGATCAGCTGATGATGATGGTGATGGTGATGACCATGATGATAAAAGTAAAATAAAATGATTAGTTAGTTAATTTAGGTTTAATAGGGGGGGTGAGGGTGGTGGTGTGTTGGGGAATGGGATAAGAGAGGGAGGGGGATACACCAAACTAATCGGGTAATCGGGGTAATACTAATTACTAACCGAGTTTTGATGCGTCCAATTTTTGCCGATTTAACGGATTTGTACCAAACAGTAAAGTGTATGATTCGCTGATTGAGGGGGTGAGGGGGGAGGGGGTAAAAAACATAACAAATAAACACAAACAAAAAATATTAATATTAATTAAAAAATTTTGATAATAATAATAATAATAATTACAAATACCTGTGACATAACTGTATCTCATCTAATGTAGCTTTTCGTGAACGCACTCTCTATACAATTATTAATTAATTAATTAAATTATTTTAATTAACTAAATTATTAACTAAATTATACTAAATAATAATTAATTTTAAAATATCCATTTTACCTCGCACCTGGATGCCAGTCCAGTTTCCTGTAGTCGAGCCCATATACTTTGCAATCGGCCGCCATGTTCCGGATGATGAAAATTATCGGCACATATACACTGGTGCTTAAGCATTAGACTATCGTAGACTAGTCCAGTAGTGAACACGTGTCGGCCACCCGCCGATGACGACGACACAATCATCGACTCGTGTTGTTGTTGTTGGCCAGTCGTAGTGTTTAGGCTGAGCGTTACAAGTGGACTGGACAGTGTCCTAGACAGTGGTCTATTGGGATGCGGCTGATGGCCTGGACGTTGATGAAGATGATGATGGCTGGAGGAAGAGGATTGGCTAATGGTTGTCAATAGGAGGTTGTTGTTGGTGGTGGTGCTGATGGGATCGCCGCCACCACCGCCGCCGCCGCCGCTGTTAAACATCGACGACGATGACAACGATGCCGATAATAGCCTGTGCGACGATGACGACGACGACGGCGACATTAGGTCGCGCTGTTGCTGTAGGAATGCCTCTCGTTGTTGCTGCCGGTGCTGCTGACGGCTTAGTTCACTGCTACTATCACTGCTGGCCGCCCGTTGCCGACTGGCCGGCGCCGTCAAATCGATTACACCGTCCGGACCGGCCGGCGGCAGCTCCTGTATGTCGGCCAGTAGCGAATCTTTCATCTCCTGGGCCACAGCGGCTTCGGTTTCCTCTTCGACATTCTCGACTACCTGACCTTTGGACGAAGCTCTGGTCAATACTGTCTGACGGATGTGCTGTTTGACCAGATTTCGCTGCTGTAGCTGTTCGTCCAGCTGTCGCTCCCGATAGTATTGTTCGCTTTGCTGGGGCGACAATATGATACCGGGTCCCGCTTGCTGTAGGAGCGGATGACCCAGCGGTAAGGGTGCCGATTGTGTACGACCAAGCGGTCGCTGTAGACTACGTTGAAGTCGGGCCTGGGCTACCTGCTGGTCGGTAATGACTACCGAACCGGGCGGCGGCGGCGGATAGGGATAGCCCGATATGGAAGAGTTGCCGGTAGTGCCGCCGGTTATTGTCTGGGCCGGCACCCGGTTAGTTGTTTGCTCCAGTACTTTCATTTGTTGTTGAATATAACCGGGACTGGTAGGCGGGGTAAATTCGCCTTCAATTACTTTATAAATTATAAAAAAAATTAATTAATTAATATTCAATCCGCCGGGTAATCAATCATAAATAAATAATAATAATAATAACCGGGTAACGATGGATAAAATGGTAGTCCCGCAGTACTATGATGTCCCGGATGAATGTTCAATGGCATTGCAAACCTCAGCGCCCGTTGCATCTGTGTCTCGCTCATGGATGTGGTGGTGGACTTTCCCGATGATTCCAAGCTCTGGTGGTGGTCGAGGGTGGGGTAGGTTATGGTAATAATAATAATTATAATTATAGTAATTCAATAGTTTAGTTCAATTCAACTAATAGTGGGTGAATGGGTGTGTTTGGACAGTTAGGTAAATTACATTACACTTACCGATGTAACACTGGCACTGGTAGTTGTAGTGGTAATGGGCACGTGCGGCCTACCCAACGATATATT